ACAGCCACATCAACAAAGGAGAATATCTGCGAAGATTGATCTAGACACATAAGAATGGGAAAGGACGCTTTTTCCAAGTCAGTCTAACATGTAATGTTTACACTTTAAACGGTCAGACCGAGGTCCTCGCCGTAAGGAAGCTGGAAGAGGTCTCCAACAGCGGCAACGGAAGCCTTGCCAGAGAGGAAAGACTTGGCGGCCTGGAGAAGGAAGGTGAGTTAGCCAGGTGACTTTGATGCAAAGCATGCTGAGAATAGGAAAAGAGAAAAGACTTACATCCTTGATCTGCGCCTCAGTGACGCTGTCGAAGCCCTGAGCAATCTCACCAATCTGGTAGGGCTTGCTGCCGTTGATCAGGGCAGCACCGGTGGCCTCAAGGCCGGTCTCGAGGGTCTGAGCAGACTCGAGAGCACGGAACTTGGCCAATGCAACGGCCTTCTTGATCTCGTCACCGGCAATCTCACCGGCAGCCGTCTTCTTGAGAACGTCAACCACGTTCTTGCTGGCGGCAGCAACCTGGTCGGCCTTTCCAGAGACTGTAATGGTGAAGAGACCGGCGTCGGAGTAGGCGTTGTTCTTGGTCGCGACACGGACCTGAGAGAAGCCCTGGGTGGCCTTGGCGAGGAGAGAGAAGCCAGGAGTCCACTTGATGGAAGACTCACCGCCGAGGAGGGCCGCAAGAACGGAAGCTGCAGGCTTGTAGCCCGAAGTGCCAAAGGTACTAGAGCCAGGGAAGGCAATCACAACGGCGTTGCCGGCCTTGGAAGAGATACGCTGTTCGCCACCGTAGTACTTGGAGGCAGTGTTGGGCCGCACTTTGAACTGGCTAGAGCCGCCAGCGCTGGGGAGCTCGGTGAAGAACTCACCAACCCACTTGGACACCTCAGCGGAAGTGGAGCCGCTGCCAACGATGGCGATGTTAGGTTTAGCATAGGCGTCCTTGGCAAACTCGGCGATGGCCTCGGCGGAGAGGTACTTTTCGAAAGGGCCACTGACGGAGGGAGTAATGTTCTCACCCAGACCGCGGTGGAAGGCAAGAGCGTGGGCAGCGTCAACGGCGATGTTCTCAGCATCGGCGGCAAGGGCTTGCTGTCTGTACTTGATGAGGCTGAGGACGAGCTCGTTCAACTCGTGGCCTGAGGTTTCGAGTCAGCCAATATCCCATTGGAGGTAATGACTGACTACAGCCGTCAACATACCTGCAAACTTTGTCTGGGAAGCAACCTCCGCCAACAGCTCGGCAAAGTAAGGAAGGTCTTTTGAGAGGAACTTGGCCTTGAGAACGACGTTCTCACGCGAATGTGTCGAGGAAACTTCACCGCCCAGCAGTTCAACCTCCCGAGTGATCCGCAACGCCGACCGTTTGAGTGTAGACTGTCCATTGAAAGCAGAAACCGTCAGAGATCACATCAATTCACACTCATATACTGCAAGGATTGCAAACGAGCTATAAAACCAACCTTGAAGGCGAAGAATTCGAGGGCGTCGGAGAAGCCAGGGAAGGGCTGGTAACGGGAGCCGGCCTTTGCAACCAACGCCAGGGTGCCGGTTGGGCCTGCGACCTCTCTGCTGGCGACCTTCACACCGGCAGACTCAGAGACATCGTATTGAAGGCCGGGAGTCGCAGCAGTGGCCATGCTGCGACGACTGCTGGCGCTGGCAGCAGAGAGCGCACGGGGCGCATTTCGGCTGAGGGTAGACCGCGAGAGCATTATCGCATGTGCGGATTATCGAACGAGGAGGATAGGAGACGTAGGAAGCCGGAAGGCTTAACAGCAATTGGTGAGGTCGAGAGGGGGGGAGAGCACAAGAAGGCTGGCTGTCTGTCGATGGACGGGTTGGAAACGATGTCTGAAAAGCTTCAAGATGCCGGCGTCTTGATTACTCTTTTGCTGATTGGCCGAAATGACGAGTGCGGGCGGAACCGGCTTTTCCCTCACCCTCCGTGTCAGGTGAGATCAGGTGATATCAATACACGTGATTTTTTAAGGCATGCGATAAGAGAAAAGTAGCAGAACGATGCAGATGATTCAATAAAGACCCATGAGCTCTTCAAGCAGGTTCTTATCTCAGATCTGAACTCTTTATTACTTCTTATAATTCCTTCATGTTATTTATCTGGCCATGTCGATTTATTCCTCCTGAAAAACTTGAACGTTGCCAGCTTCACTGTGAAGCTTGAAAAATGACCTCACAAGTATGCGACAGACAACTGAGCTCGACCACTTAATTCATTGCGCGTCACCTGCTAATTTGGGAATGATACAGTATGCTGCGGAGCTATGCGAGCTTCTTGTAGAAGAGAACTTTGGGGAGCTGTTTGGGGTACGTTTGCGCCCCATGACATGTTGGCTTGAGATCATGATTGAAGTACTTGGGCGGGGGGTGGTTTGATATACGATTAAATGAGCTGATGAGCTAATCCCTTTTCTTCTGACATCAGCGAATCTTCGCGACACTTTCGCGCTATGATCGCCTCAATCTGCCTCGCCTCAAGGCTTACTCCGAACTTCCAAATCGCCAGCTTCTCCCCGCACTCGCTGCTATGATTCAGCAGCATCTTGTCTACCATTACACATCCTACGATGATGGCGTTACGTATTATGAAGCCAATATGCAGTCTGCATACTATCTCATCCGTTCTGGAAAAATTCTGGAGCTTGTGGAGGAACGACTGGGCAAGTATGCGGCGACCGTCCTGTCAACCATCATGTATCTCGGACATGCCCAAGTGAGCTACCTGGAGACTTTGCCGGAATTGAAATCCGAGGCGGTCAAGGCCAATGGCGTTTCTGAAGAGCATGCCGGATATAAGGAAGATGGAGAACAGTCGAATGGACTCAATGGCGAACATCCCAGTGAACAGCCTGAGCTTCTTCACCCAACATTGAAAGTCCTAGCTGCCCATGGTTATATCATCCGTGTTAGGGAGGCACAATTCCAGAGCCATGCGGACAATATCCTCGACGCAGAGCGAGTCATAAGATCTAAACCTGAGATCAAGGCATTGAAGGGCAAGAGGCTAGAGGAAGCAGTCATAGAAGGAACACTCGGATTGCTCAAGGAGAGAACGGACGGGGACCTGACCCGCGGTCTGATAGTCCACGGGGTTCCCAGAGGCGCCAAGCGCAAATACAGTTCTCGGAGGGCTGACGAGCCCAACAAAAAATCCCGAATCGATTTTGCCAGCGTTGATGAAAATGATGAGCAGGATAAGGAAGAGGAGAACGAATGGTCGGATGATGAAATGGGCTACGATACCACTCCAATGGAGGTGAGTGCTTCGAATGACATGCCATCGTATGTGAACGCGAGAGTTAACGAAGCTGTGACACTCAGTCTGGGTTGGTTGTCCGAGTCAATTATAACAAGCTCGACGTCGCACTACGAAATCGCCACTTTATAGAATTAGCTGAGCAGGGTGTGTCGCCAGCAACAGCTGAAGTATATGAATGCCTACTTCGATGCATTGAGTACCAGACCCATCAGTGCCGAGACACTGCCGAGATACCTCGAGAGGGAGAAGAGGGAGAGCAGTACTCTGTGCCGATAGCACTCAGTGCATTAGCCGAAGACGTCAATCCACGGCTTGACCTTTCTAGTTCTACGGGACCCATGGATACCTCGCAGTCAGATGGCAGGCGTGGGAAACGGCCCTTGGAAAGTGATGTTGATGGGACAAATCACGAAGGGGTGAATGGACTGTCTTCTGGCGGTAATCGTACTTTTGAGATCGACCAACACCTTTCTCTTTTGGCGCAGCCACCCCACAACCTCACATCCAAACGCATGGTTTCGGGCCTCATCACGTGGACAGTAGAGTTCCGTCATCTGGCGCGAAAACTCCGGCACCTCGAACTGGAGCGGATGATCGAGGCTCGGTACGGCGACGTTGCGTTGCGGGTGATCCGAGTTCTCCATGCCAAGGGCAAGCTAGACGAGAAGCGACTCCAAGAAATCAGTCTGCTCCCCTTCAAGGACCTGCGGCAGGTCCTTGCGAGCATGCAAGCAGGCGGATTCGTGGACCTGCAAGAAGTGCCACGGGACGCTCAGCGCCAGCCATCACGCACAATCTATCTCTGGTACTACGACCCTGACCGCATCTGCAACAGTGTGCTGCAGGACACGTACAAGGCCATGTCACGGTGTCTGCAGCGTCTGAGGTTCGAGCGTAGCCGGCTAAAGGAGTTCTTGGAGAAGACGGAGCGGAGTGATGTCAAGGGCAACGAGCAGCGTTATCTATCTGAACCGGAATTGGTGCTTCTAGAGCAGTGGAGGGCCAAAGAGGCGTTGTTATTAGGCGAGGTGGCGCGCCTGGATGAGATGGTTGCCGTGATGAGAGACTATTGAGCTGGGTTAAATGATTCCCACGAGACATGAATGAAAAGAAAAGTCATTTGCAGAACATGTCAATTGCATAGCGAATAGAATCATTCTACGTCCAAATCCGTTGTAGAGTCGCCTGCCCCGCTGTACGGAAACTTAGATTACCACACCACCGTGCATACATTCCCTTCAAATCATATATACTCCGATGGCTTTAACTGTTTGTTTGATTACCTACCTCGATTGAAGTACGAATACAGGAGAGAACACAAGTCTAGATACATAAAAGGAAGCAAAGCGGACAACTAGATCTACAGTGGTAAAATGGTAGAATGGCCTGGCTGACCAAAAGTCAGCGCGAAGAGAGGTAGCGCATGTGAACGCACCTATGAAGAAGAGCAAGCAAACCACACCCGACAAAAATACACAGACAAATGCCACACCAGATGACAAAAGATAAACGCCCATCCGTGGTCGACGGATGTTGAACTCCAGGTAGTGTCACTATACAGGTGGTCGTACTGGTCAACTAATTATTTCGTTTCCTCCTGGCATGTCTAAGGCCACTGTGTTGCTAACAGATTTGCTTCGTAACCCATACCGCGTAATCATGCTCCCAATCGCTGGTAGGGAGGCCGTAAAGTTTTTCTTTGGCGATCAAGTCCCATGCATGACTATGTCGAGGCAGTAGCTTCCGTGCTAGTAACAGCGGCCACTGCCACACTACAGCCTTGTGTGCCATTTGAGCTCTTCGTGTTCCCATCCTCTGGTGAAGATACCGTGGCCGCTTTGCCGCCTTCATCCTTCGCGGCACCATTCTCTCCCATTCGAGCCTCAGCAGCGACCAGCTTTCCTTTCGTTTCTTCCAATTCCTGTTTCAAGGCCTTGATATAGTCAATAGCCAGTTCCACAGTACTGGCTTTGCTGATTGTTTGTGCCCCGGCTTTCTCTTTCTCTTTTTCTTTGTCACCCTTGGCAAGACTGGCCACATTCTCTTTGGCGTGCTTCATCTGAATGAACGCCGATGGGATCAGAGACTCGATTTCCTTGAGGGCGTTGTTGATTCGGTTTCTGCGGCCCTGCTCTGCGAGCTTGTGATTCGTTCTCTTTGAGCTGAGATTCTCAGCCAAGGTTTCGGGATATGAGACACCAGGTAGTAGCGTTCCGTCCAGAATATGCTGATAGTTAGATTTGGACGCCAAGTATAGAGCTGAGGTTTCGCTTGAAATGCCTGCAAGAATACGTGATCTTGGTCAGTGCTGATCAACGAGACAAGAGCAGGGCAGATGGCATTCTTACCTTCGCCGCGCACCAAGGGCTGAATGCTAGGACTGATCTTGGGTCGCAAATTAGGACTGGCGTGCGTCGAGCTCAGGCTCTGCCGTTTCCTCCCCATCGGACCAAGCTTAGGTGTTTCCGACTTCTTCGCGATCGGTCCGCTAGGAGAGGGCATGGCCATCGTGCGTGGGCTCGGCGCAATCGAGCCAGGATTCCGATCGATAATTGGCGCTGATTTTGGCTCCAACGACGGTGTGATACTCGCTGATGTAACCGGTGTAGCCGAGCCTGACTTCATGGCGGTATCAATGCGTGCAACCTGAGGTCGAGAGAGTTGTGATGACGGGGTGGCAGCTTCCGGGAGCATAACATCCTCCATGATGTCGTCATAAGATTCTGTGGATACGAGCCTTGCTTGGCCATTGAATTGACCTGTTGGATTCTCCGCTGGCTGTGGCCGTTGAAGACGCATCAACATTGCAGGGGTTGCCGGAGCGCTCGTTTGCGACTGATCGGCTTGTGGCACTAAGGCGGGTGACTTTCGCGCAGGGGGCAGGGCAGGCGGCGGCATCAATGGTTCCGAAAGGGGTTCCGGCGATACAGAATCTTGGTCGGAGCTCTCATTGCTGCTCTGACGAAGCCCACTCACACCGTGAGGCAGTACTTTGGAGACTCCTTGATCCTGGCTGAGGCCGTTGAGAACTTCGTCGGAGTTGAGATTCAGCATTGACTTCTTTCGTGTCTGTGGGCGTACAGATGGCGATTGCTGTTTCTTGGCGCGTGAGGAAAAGGATTTAGTGGTCGATGGTCGGCGACGATGTTTCCTCATCAAGCCAGGGGAGGAAGGAGCAGAAGAGCCGGGGATAGCGTCGGCAGGAGAGTGCAGAAAACCGACCTCAGATACCGACTGGAACGGATAGCCATTGCCGTTGGAGTTCTGGGCCTCAAGAGCTGGAGAGGTGAGGGGGGTAAAATACTCCCCGGGAATTGTGTACTCGGGCAGTCGAAATTGAGTTTCTAACGGTGTCATGGCGGGAGAGACGAGCGGAGTGTAGAGTGCCTGTGTCAATGCGGGTGCATGCATTAGCCTGTGCGCTCCCATCACAATGAGCGCAGGACGCGCCGGGTGGGTTTAGTCTCACCTGCTCTTCGTTCATGCGAGGGTATCGGTCGTACAATTCGTGGTTCTCATCCACCTGGGCCGGATATCGTGCTGCATTACCCTGAAGCTCAATACTGTTCGGAGTAGGGGGAATGATGGCTTGGCCGTGGGGAATGTAGGGTTGCGAGGTGGTAGGCAGTCCATGATGGGGTTGTTGCTGCAGCTGCAGCTTCTGCGGCGGTTGTTGAGGATGATGGAACATCTGAGGTTGTGCAAGTTCCTGGTTGTAGAAGGCTGGGGTTACAGGAGCGCTGGTGTAGGACGAGGGAATTTGACCCTGAGGTTGAGATGGCTGGTTGTGGCTGGAAAGCTCGAACGAGAAATCGCCCATGATGCGATTGTTGTAGGATGAAGACGAGTGAGCGCTGGGAAGGGAGTCGGTCTCCATGCGGACCAGTTGCTCCTGCTCAGCAGTGGTCGTAGGCATCATCGACACCGAGGCGGGAAGAGAACGAGGAGGTTGTAGCTGTCGCTCGCCTGGTCCGTGCCCCTCCAGATCGGGGAAATGCATTCCAAACTCCAGAAAATTAGTGAATTCATCTTCGCCAGAGGCCCCCATGAGCGATTGTTCCTGAAGGGACCCCGGCCATGCCATCGAGTTGTCCTGGTCCATGATGGGTCGGTACGGGCGGGTGCAGAAGAAGCGATCGTGATCTAATTCGGCTGGTTTCGTTTCGACTCTTTCCCAACTCGATTTCTTTCTCTTCTATGTCGGAAACTGCGGAATACTGACGATGACTTGACCATTCACTGAGGGAAAAGAGCGAGGAGAGCTTCAGATCGCAATGCAGTGATAAGGAAAGTGGGACAAAATGTACACTGGAGGAAGTACTCTGCTCCGACGAACGGCCGGTCGGAGATTGACAAGGCTGTCAAGTTTTCAACAGAGCGAATTGATGGGCATGACGGTAGGATTGTAGGTTGATCATGGGTAGAGTAGTGAAAGAGGAACGGGTCAGGTCGACAAAATTGCAAGAGGATGAGAGCGAGGAGGAGATGTGGTGGGTGGGGGGGTGTGGAAAAAGAAGTCTGACTACTAGGAACCAAGTACTACTAAAGTGTCCGTATCTCGTAAGGAAAAGAGGGAAAAAGCGACCGGGTAAAAGCTACGAGGGAGTACTACTAGTATAATAGTCCTGCCCAGCTGCTCGGGATTTCTACAAAGTCAAATGATACAATCAAGATGACTTTGGTAATATTCAAAAAAAAAAAAAAAAAAGGTAAAAACAGAAGTAGAGAAAAATAATATGCGGAAATAATAATAAATATTATTATTATCAGTATTACTACACAAGAGGGACAGAGCATGTTAAAAACCCAAGAGGATGAACAAGAGCACAAGCTAAGGCAAGTATCTTAAGTTCTTAACCAAGCCAACCAGTACAGGGTCCTACTGCATGATTATTTGTCGGATATAAGTAAAACAAAAAGTACTCGGATAGGTCCTTACTAGGAGGTAACCTGCAAGCCATTTTATTACTACGTACCTGGTTTTGTGATTCTAGAACTGAAGCCAAACACCCTTCTGCACAGTAGGTATCCACAGAGTAACATCGATATTGCCAATTTACTATGGAGTAACTGAATAATCATCTGCGTCAAGGGCAGAGAAATGATGAAGGTGAAAAAAAAAAAAAAAAAAAGAAAGAAAGAAAGAAAGAACAGAAACTGGTCAACCATCAAGAGACCAGGGAATATTCTCCGCTAATTAAGTTCCAGCCATGAGGACAAGAATTATCAGACGAATCCAGAATTAGGATCAGAATGGGTTATCATAATAAAGGGTGCCAATTTTATCAAAGGCTGCTGGCTGGTAAATGAAACGGCAGCAAAGCAGATCCAGATGAAGAGTCTACTTTGGCCTGACCCATGGGACATACATAATGATATACCAAGTATACGTCCGGTTTTCCTCTGTAAACTTCCCAGTCTTCCCTCATACCGAGAGGTTGATCCATGCTTCCCCAATCGGCGTCTTCTCGGGCTTCATGAGCAGCAAACCTGAGTACTTGAGTACTTTACCCCCGGCCGATGATTTTCTTCCCGGACAATACCATGTTAATAGAGCATTATCGCCTTTTTGATATTTCTGTACTTCACAGAGGAACAAGGTCCCTATCCCTTGTTGAACTTCTTGACTATCACCAGAATTATCTACCAGGTTGACTCTCCCCCAATGGACTCCCTCTGAAGAAGACCAGAACATGATCCATGGATCCAGATTGTGCTCTTGTGATAATGGTCTTGTTCACCTCTGGGACTAAACCTAGTCTGTGAACAGCTTTTCCTAAATAATCATAGCCTCACATGCGTCGCCAGTGGGCCATTTTTTAAAAGCGGCAGGTGCGCTTGTGGATTATTCTCTAGACTACCTGGTTCAATCAAGGTGGCCTGTGCAAGTCAGACTACCGCTTAAGTATCAACTGTAATAATAATGTGAGTGATTATCATCCAACATATCCGGAGGGTGTCCATGCGCCTGATGATGAAAAAGGTCCTATCTCCATGTCAAGGCAAATCGGGGCAGGGCCACTTGAATCCTTCCGTCTTTTTATTCCTTCCTCGGAACAACCAGGTTACCAGGGAGCATCGCGGGGCACTTTTCAGTTCTACTGCGCGACTACCTTGAGTTAGACCAATGGAGCTACTAGTAAAAATTTATTAGTTTCCACTGGGAGTGATTGGGCTCCCTACTGAATTCCTCCTAGGTTACCTAGTAACCTAAGTACCTAGATCGCTTCTGATTCCTGAAAATCAGATTCACAAAGCCTGATTGGTCCTCTGAGGCGTTTGAGGTAATATTCAGAATAATGACATCGCTTATCCCGTCCAGTCCAGTCCAAATGCGCTTCTAGACAAATACCTAACTACTATCTATCTGGGTAGGCGTACAGCTCACTCTCTTCAGTAGGCCAATAATCTTTTGCCTGAATCCTGTAAGGAAAAGGCTGCTACTCCGTAGTACTACTCTGGGATGGACTTAGACCCGCTAACTATGACGGTGTAGCTGATCACCATGCAAGATCCCAATGCTAAGAATATCATGAAGGTTTCACATCCCTATGTACCTCCCCGTAGCGCGAGGTAGCAGATACGGTTTTCCTTGGGTTACGTGCCTCTATCTTAAGATCCTGAATTACAGAGTAAAGAAGTACGGCATCCTTGGTCGGTGACTCAACGACTGCTCACTTGATCACTGGTTCTGTGATCCCTTGCTAAATAAGTAATACTCGAAAGTCTTCCAACTTGAAGCTATCCTTTCTGCAGAGGGGTCACGTGGATTACGTAACCATCCATTGCTAACTATGGAGTAAAGTGCGTACAAAGATACCCCAGCCAAATTGCGGGGTAACTGTTGGGCTGAGATGATAACATGACATGACATGACATGACATGCCACAATGGTCATCAACCTCGTCCGCGCCAGAGAAGGTATTCGTCAGCCACTCCGTACAGCTGCATAACCCTTACCGCTTCCTTCCTTAGTATTACCTTATCTAAGGTACCTCTCTACGATTACAACAATCCATCACCAAGCAAATGAGCTCATCTCTTTGCAGCCTCCACCTCCCCCAGTAGCAGCAAAACTCCCCTCCATACCATGTTCCATCTTCCCCTTGAAGGGGACCGAGCCTTTTTGCCAGTATACTCACCAACTCTTCACTAATCATGAGGCCACCTGTACCTGAGGTCTCCATGCCTCGATCCCGCAAGTCTTCCATCGAACAGCCGTGGACCGATCCCCGCACTACCGCCCCTGCGACCTTTTTCCTGGCCCGCAGTCATACACAGCACTCGGACGAGCTCTCGCTTGAAGATTCCGATGTCTCGAAAGAGTGTATGTATGGAGTCCAGAGCCTTGAGGACTCTGTTCACGAGGCCACCATATCCTCATCTCAGAACATATTCGATCGATCCCTTGGCGATAGGCTCTCGTCCGGCCCAGCTGTAGCGGATCTACGGCCCGATATCAGTCTCGACATCAATGAAAACGGTAATGAGGATGAGAATGGCGTGGATGCGCCACCTCTCGGCCGTCGTAGATCCACCATCAGGCAGTTCGACACCCTTCGAACAGAGGTCTCTTTGCAGCCGCCGTCAGATCGTGCTTCATCCCGTCCACTAACCCCACTCAACCCCGACGAACCTTCGTCTCTCCCCAGCAGCCCGAAATCTGTCTCTAATCAATCTATGAAGCACCTCGACGACATCTCTATCACAGACGATCTCAGCAGCCACGCGGTGGGCTCCGAGGATGAGGGCAATGATGCTCGCGAAGCGCCGAATTCGGCTGGATTCGACAGTACATCCCAGTTAATCATGCCTAGCATTAGGATGCCTAGTCGGAGGCCATTCACAGATCGAGGAAAGACTATGGGCCGCTTCAAAGTGCTCATAGCTGGCGCTTGCGGTAAGTGGAACTCGCCTCGCATCTGGAATATTGAGATCCGAAGTATTAGCTGAGTTATATCTGACCTACGAGTAGGGTCCGGGAAAACTTCCCTCATCAAATCTATAGTACAAGCTTGTGAAGATATCGTGCATGTTGACCCCTTCCCCTCGCTATCTCCTTCAAACCTGTCAGCCCGCGCGCAGGCCCCGACTGCTGCAGCGGTGATCTCGGAAATCTACGCTAGCACCAAACCATACCCTCCGTGGTGGTCAGATCTGGAGGATTCTCGCGTTCTGCGGAGGAGAAAGAGTAGTGGCGATATTGTTCTTGAACGGAATCTATGCTTCGTCGATACTGCGGCCGACGGCTTGAGTAGAGTCGGACAAACTGATGCTATTGTTCATCACATACAGCAACAGCTCCTGCGGGCCACGACGGCCGTGAATTCCTCTAACACCGATTTCGAAAATCTCCTCGCTGGCAACGGCGGAGCACAAGTAGATGCCGTTCTCTACCTGATCTCAGAGAGTAAGTGGTCTGCAATAAACTACTCCCGTTTTATACGATCGTGCTGACCTTTCAGATACGCTTGCCGCGGATATTGAGTGCATCCGGAAGCTCTGCGACTGGACAAACGTTATTCCCCTTATATCTAAGTCAGATCTACTGACTCCCGACCAAATTGCCACTCTCAAATCTTCCTTTCACACGAAAGCCCAGATGGCATCCATAAAACCCTTCCATTTTGGGGACGCAACTTCCGTCGCGGCAGATGGATCCTCGAGTCACTCGCCATTCGCCGTCTCATCCGCGAAAGTAGATGATGAAGACATCATGGACGCTAGCACATTGATGAGCCCAGACTATGTCCAGCCTCTGGCACCCTCCGAACTTTCGCTACTTGTACAAAAATTGTTCGATCTCGACAACATGGCATGGATCCGACATTCTGCTGCTAAGAAGCTTGTTCAGAGACAACATTACCAAGGACAACAATGGGCAGTCACACGGCACAGCACCAACTGTTTTGATGGCCAGAGTACTGTATCCAGATCTACCTCCTCAGTCCTCTCTACTAGTTATCTTGAGGGCATCACGTCTCCGCCTAGTGGACGCTTCCCCAGCTATACCATGGCCCGACTATCGGATTATACACAACGTGAGGAAAAGATGGCCCGCGTACAGTTGGCCAAGTGGGCCTCGGACTTGCAGCGAAGCCT